TTATTACGCACCAAACAAACGTTCCAAAACCGATTGAAATGTGACATAAATAAAGCCTGCGCTCCACCTGGCGGGAGCGAAATAATGAGATTTTATGTTAACATAAAACGCGCAGAATTCCTCCCCTGGAGTGTTATGGGCGTTTATTTACCAATTTCTCTAGTGATTTATGTATTCTCCAGGAGTTATACCATGGCCGTTGGTATTATTTTCCTCTGCTACCTGGAAAACTGCAAATCCGTCGAGAAAACCTAGAACATGAGTAGAAAAATAGTAAAACTATTGAATTTCTAATGAATAAATTATTGTAGCATTGAGTTAATAAAAAATAATGCAAAACGATAAAATATTGTCCAGAAATGTTCATTTGTCCACTCTAAACAATTACAAGTAATATTCTAGTAACCAACACTCTAAAACTGTTTATGTATTTTTGAAAAAAGAAAGTAATTCACGAATTCGATAATTGTGGACTGTGCACTTCCGCAGATGCCCTCAGTCTCCTGATGAGAAATATATTGAGAGCTTTAATTCTCAATAAAATCGTCGTCTGGTTGCTCTTTGCGGGGAAAATCCTCGTCATCTGCACGATCCGCTTAGAAACCGTACCACACGAGCCACAAAATAACAAAATTATTAAATTTGCAACGATTATTGTAGAAATTATTGTAAAACTGGTTCAATAAAAACGAATACAAAACAAAAAATATCGTGTTCAATAACATTCATTTATACCTTCTCTACAATTACCAGCAATATTCCAATAACCAATACTCCATAAAACTGAATATGCATTTTTAATAGACTAACACCGCAAGCAACTCATCAATACAATAATTACCAAAAATTCTGGTTGTTAAATTAGAAGAGAAAGCCTGCAGTGCTCTGAATACAATCCAATGTAAAAGTCGTATAATGTTGAATAATAATTTATGCTTGAGTATACGATTACTAAAAAAAGGGATGATTAATTCTGGAAGAGGGTGCGAGTAAAATCTATGTAGTCCAGTGCTCCAATAATCGATCGTTCGTTCTTGGCGTCGACGAAGGGTTTCATACGTGCCACACAGTAATCGGCCATGTCCTTCGTAAGGTTCTGTAATCAGAAAGAAAATCAATTGTTAAACGAAATCTGTCATCGATTTATTTCACCTATCTTACGATTCCAATCTTTCACTCACCGTTTTTTATATATAATATATTTATACAAATTATATATTTCATATATTTGTATAAATATATTCCAAAAAAAATTATAATAAGGCAGTACTACAATGATACCTGTGTAATGCGTAAATATATTTATCATAATTGACTTTGAGAGGGACAAGCATTAAAGTCTGCACTCACGAATAAGAATTTCGATTATGAGCTCCGATATTTGCGAGTAGTCCTTATATATTCTCTCTCCCGGGGTGGTGGGGGTATGAACGCGAGGGCCACGAGGGCCATGGAGGTGGACTAATTTAACCAATCACTTTTTCAAATTCACTTGTGGGTCGATCCAAAGACGAGAGAGAGATTTTTCAAATAGTCTATATTTATTCTAAAGATCTCTACTATTTCCGCAACCCAAAAATAAAAAATAAACTTACCGCATAAAGTTCTTCCTTAGTGACATAAGGCCTGTCGGCAGCAGTGATTGCACGGAATGCGTTTTCAATTTCCTCAGAGCTCTGAACATTTTCGGTCTCCTTACTAATCATAAACGCCATGTACTCCTGAAGAGAGACATATCCATCCCTATTAGGATCGACAATATCCAGAATATTCTCGAATTCAGGATCAGGTTGTCCCTCCTCGACCATAGGTAAATCATACCCGAGTGCCCTGAGACAGGATTTGAACTCTTGATGATTGAGTCTTCCACTCTTGTCCTTGTCGAAATGCTTAAACATCATGGAGAACTCCTTGAGTGCATCCTCCGACACACCAGACTGATTTCTGGCCTGAATCTGCTGCTCCAAATTATGCTGCATTCTCATTCCGAGTTGATCGAGTTGATCCCACTGCTGAGCCAGTCCCACAGTGCTGTGCTCGGTGTATCTGTTATCGAGAATCAAATGCTCCTCTAGAATGGCCCCAAGATCCTCGATTTTCTTGAGATCCTGCCTGCGAGCCCTGACCTCGTGGGTCTTTCTCTTCGTGGCCTCGAGCTGTTGCTCGAGTGATCCAGACCCCTCCATCATCGACGTCCTCGTCTCCGCCAGCCACTGATGGAAGGCATTCGCATGTTTCGCGAACTCCTTCCTCAACTTATCGTTCTCCTCCTGTCTCTGGGCCTCTTTTGCGAGCTCCACATCCCTCTCTTTAATGATCTTCTGCAAATTTCTCCAGGTGTCCTCCAACGCCTCCATCGTGAACCATGTGTAGGGATTGGGTCCCACATTGAAGCTCTTTATCTGTCTGTCAAGGGCAGCGAGTGCCTGAAAATCAGCCTCAGCCGACGACAAACTCGCTTGGAACGAGGCATGCGCCTCCCTGAGTGCCCTGATCTCCTCAATACTATTGCACCTTACAGGATCAGTCAAATCCTCCTCAGCATTTTCAAACCAAGAATTAAATGCCGACGCTTTCTTCGCGAATGTCAGGTAGAGCTCCTCGATCTGCCTGAACTGGTCCTGCATCCTCAGGAGTCGCTGCTTCCTGGAGTCAGAGTCCGCCAGGAGTTTCTGCCATCGGGTGATGACATCGGCGTGTCTCTTCTGGATATTAGGGGTCTGTTCGTGTCCTGCGTCGACAAGTCTCTCCTTCAGAGTCGTAATATTCTGAATCCCCTCATGCTCGAAGGCATGTAATCCAGCATCAAATGTCTCCTGTTTCGTGAGAAGAGTCTGAACAGTCGACAAATCCCTTCCGAATTCCTCAGACCTTACATGAGTCTCTTTATCAGCAATCCATGACTCCACGACATCAGCTTTCCACATAAACTGTAGATAAGCTGAATTGTCAGTGAGTCGTGTCTTCCTGCGAGTGGCAAGGGCCCCCAATTGATCCAATTTGCTCCTCAATTGTGTGCAGCGTTGACCAATGGCCTCTCCCCTATGATTTCCAGAGGCAATGAGGGACTCCCCAGCCTCGCAGATGTCCTTGCAGCGTTCCCCATGAGCAGCAAAATCGGTTTCAAAGGCCTCGTGCTTTTTCAGGAGCCCCTGAACAGCTGCCATTGTGTCTCCATAATCTTCTACAGAGAGAAGTTGCTGTTTCTCAGTGATCCAGGCCTCTTCCTCCTCAACTTTAGCCAGGAACTGCTGATAAGTGAGTGATTCATCGAGTTTCTGACCCCTAGTGGCAGCCAATTGTTTCAGCTCAGCCCACGCCTGATTGAGAAGCTTCAGCCTCTGTTCGATCTCAGGTACTCCTAAATTCGAGACATCCATCAGCTTCTCCCCGGCCTCCTGTACCGCCTGAATCGCTGGCTCGTGACTCCCCAGTTCAGCCTCCAGCCTCTTGTGTTTTTTCTTCAGGTTCTGAACTCCAGTCAAGTCTCTACCATAATCGTCAGATCCCACGAGCAATTTTTTCTCCTTGATCCAGCTCTCCTCGTCAGCAATATCCCTGAAGAATTGGTGGAGAGTGTTAGCTTCATTGAGTCTTGCCTGTCTGTGAGCTGCCAAATTACGGATTCTCTCGTATCTCTCGTTGATACTCTGTCTCTTCTCCTGAATACCGGCTGCATCGAACTGCCCACTCTCGATCAAAGAGTCAGCCTGTGCATTCATATCCTTAATTCTCTCCTCGTGTGCCTGAATATCAGCCTCCACCAGTTGATGTTTCTTCATTAGATTCTGAACAGATGCGAGATCCTTTCCAGCGTCCTCAGAGGTCAGTAAACTCTCGACCTCACCCAGCCAAAAGTCCAGATCCTTAACGGCTGCGATGTAAGTTCTCTGCTTGTTGGCTTCCTTGAGCTTCAGGGACTTCTCCGTCGTCTTCTGGGTGAGGTACTCCCACTGATCAGCTATTGACGCCAGTCTCTTCTGGACTGCGTCCTCTGATCCAGCACACTGATGTTTCTCGATGAGATTTCCACCCATCGCCAGGACAGACTGAATTCTGTCAGCATTGGCTGCCAATTCTGCCTCGAATGCCTGATGCTTCTGGTGTTTCGACTGAATATTCGCTGGGTCTTTGTAATTCTCCTCAGTCGCTAATTGAAGTTTCTCTGCAATCCAGTTTTCCATTTCGTCAGCGTCTCGAGAGAATTGCTGGAGTGTCTGAGACTCTCCCAATTTCGATCGTTTCTCGATCAGGGCGTCCTTCAAGTGCTTCCAACGATCCAGCACTTGACAGCGACGATCGTCAATCGGTTTGGCTGCGTAATGCTCAGCTGCTATCAGCTGATCAGCCAGTGTCTGGAGTGCAGCGATTTTCTCCTCGTGTGCGTTTATCGCTTTGTCGAAGTCTTCGTGTTTTTTAATTAATGCCTCCACGTTGTCACTGCTGTCGACCGCGTCGGCGGAGCTCAGGAAGGCCTCACGAGCGCTCATCCAATTTTCTGCTTGCTCGCAGTCTCGACAGAATAGCTGGAGCTCCAGGTTCTGGTCCAGTTGCATTCGACGCTGGATCCACGCCTTTTCGAGCTCCTGACGGGCTTCGGCCATTGATTCGAGTTTTTCCTGGATTTCAACGCTGGCGTAGTGGGAGGATTGAAGGAGTTGTTGGCCGAATAACTCGAAGGCCTGGAATGTACCTGCACGTGCGTCCACTTCCGTTCTGTGCTCCTGAAAGATGAGAATTCAGTTACATTCACGGAGTACTCAAAGGTACTTAGGGATCTAGTGTGGAATCTAAGGGAGATAGCGAAATATTTATACAAAAGCTTTCGTGGGAAATTTCAACAGCTTCGAAAAAGGTGGGATGTATTTTTTTCATGGGACTAGTCGATTTTCAGATATTCGGGAAAAATCGAATCGAGAGAACAGGGAGTTAAATAGAAGGGGAGTGGTTTTTCGGCGTTAGCGCGGAATCTAGGGGAGATAGGAAAATTTGTTATTAGACTTTTTTGTAGAGTGTGAAATTTCCTACAAAAAAGTCCCGACGCGAATTTCTGTAGCTCTCACGGATTACGATGTATTCAATAAAAACGAAAACTGAAAGTTAGTGCAATGGCTCCGTTTCGTAATTCTGTTAATGCACAAACGGCGAATTATTAATTTTTACTATTATTATTATTGTTATTATTATTCATTATTAAATATCTCTACAATAGCGACATGTTAATTCTCTCAAACAAAACCCGAGCATTACTCCTCACTCCAGCGAAATCTAAATAAACCAAAAAAAATCCCATCATGCAAAAAACTGGTACCTCGAGGATTCCATATCTCGCGTCAATTTCGGATCTGTAATTCTACAAGAATTCACGATAGAGTCCCAGCTAATTCCCAAATATAAAAAAAAACTCACCTGATGCCTCTCAAGAAGAGCCTCAGCACCAGTGACGTCAGACGCGAGTTCCTCACTGGCGACAAGTCCCATCATAGAATTAATCCAGGCCATGAGATCCCTGTAATCACTGAGGAATCTCTGAAGATCGTAAGAGTCCAGTAATTTCTCCTTCCTGGAGTTGGCCTTGGCAGTGAGTTGAGTCCACTCCTCATTGATTTCCTTCTGCTTGGCATAAGTTTGCTCAGCAGTGTCAGGATGTGATTGCATAAGCCTGTTGGCAGTGTCATCCAACTGTTTGATCTTATCCCCAAGTGCAGCCAAATCCCTCTCGAGCCCCTCGTGCTTCCTCTGCAATGCCTGAACACTTCTGAGATCCTTGCCAAGATCATCATTATTCAACGCAGCATCCTTCTCCCTGATCCAGTCCTTAGTCTCATCAACATCCCTATGAAATCTCTGTACCTCATGTGCAGAGCCCAATTGACTCGCCCTCTCAGCAGTCAATGTCTGAAGACTCGTCCACTTCTCATTGAGATCCTGAATTTGTGTTTGAATTTTGAGTGCAGCCTCAGTCTGCCCAAGACTCATCAACTGGACAGCAATCTCATTCATCTCAGCAAGCCTGACCTCATTAGCCTTGAGATCAGCCTGAAAATCGTCGAACTTCTTCTGCATCACCTCCACCTGCTCGAGATCCTCACCCACATCCTGGACCTGTGCATGATTCTCCTTGTCCTTGATCCAGGTCGCCAATTCAGCGGCTTCTCTCACAAGAACATAAGCCTTCGCTGTTTCATTGAGTTTATTCTGACGCTCGTGTGCCAATTGGAGTAGATCATCGTACTGTCCCTGAATTTGCGCCTGTCTCGCAGCAATTGAGCTCTGCTCTCTGGCAAGATTCTGCTGAGATGCTGACAGTCCAACCTCTGGCTCCACTCGTTTAACATAAGCCGCTGGAACAAATCCCTGACGATCGTTCACCTCAACCTTCCACCAGTCCTTGTTATTAGAGTTCAATAGAGTCAGAGTATCTCCTTTTTTCATGGAGACCTCCCTAGGAGATTTCTCTGCATAATCATAAAGTGCAACGACGCACTCTTTTCCAGCGATATCAACAGTTGGTGTCTCCTGTTGTCTGCAGGCAGCTGCCTGATCCCGGAGTGCTCCAATGGTGCTGGCAAAAGCCTCAAGATCACTGACGAGTGCTTCGTGTTTCTTCAGAAGAGCCTCAGAGCTATCCTCGTCCTTACCATAATCATTATTCATGACAATCGGACGTTTCTCCTTCATCCAGGACTCAGCCTCATTGGCATCAGCGAAATACTGATGCGCCTGGAGAGAGTCGTCGAGATCAATTTTCCTCTGTTTGGCTTTCTCCTTGAGCTGTAGCCAGTGCTCATCGAGTGCACTGAGCCTCTGGCCAATTTCATCAGCAGCAAAGTGACCATCCGACAGCATTTTCGATCCAGCTTCACAAACAGCTGCCACCCTGGGCTCGTGATTATTTATCTCAGCAAGTACAACCTGATGCTTCTTCTGTAAATTCTGAACACCAATTAAATCCCTACCCCTGTTAGTGGAAGCAGCTACTGGCTCTTTCTCCCTGATCCATGCCTCCTCGTCCTCAATATCCCGGAAGAGCTGTTGCACCTGGAGTGAATCCAGGAGTCTCTGTTTTCTTATGCTCATGGGTCTCTGGAGTGCGGCATAACGACTCCCCAGTTGTTCCTGCTTAGACCTGATGTTCTCAGCATCAAAGTGACCAGAGGATACGAACTTCTCAGCAGCTTGAGCAATTACCTCGATTCTATCGGCATGTGATCCCACATCGGCCTCCAGGAGTGCGTGTTTCTTCTGAAGATTCTGTACACTCGTCAGGTCCTTTCCATAATCCTCACTCATCAGTTGACCCTCGACTTCGGACAGCCAGAGCTCAATGTCCTCGACAGTTCTATTAAACTGCTGCTGCTGCAATGCCTCTTGGAGTTTTGTCCCCTTCTTGTCGGCTGCCCTGGCGAGGCTCTCCCAGAGGGAAACAATCTCATCGATTCGTGATTTTATTCTCTCCCTTGCGTAGTGCTCACCATCGATGAGCTCCTGCCCAATGCTCACCATCTCTTCCATCCTCGTCTTATTAGCGTTGAGCTCCTGTTCGAAATTCTGGTGCTTCTGGACTTTTCCATTGAGATTCGTTGGGTCCAGATAACTGTCGTCAGTTGCAAATTTAAGTTTCTCATTTACCCAACCCTTTGTCTCATCGCAATCCCTCTCGAATTGCTGAAGCTTGTAGGCATCCTCGAGTTTTCTCCTGCGTTCAGCTGAATTCACGAGCAGAACTGATCGTCTCTGGAGGAGAGATTTTCTCCTCTGGGCAACATCGTCAGCTGCGTAGTGTTCACCCTCGATCAATTTACCAGCGAATTCATCGAGTGCCTTGATTTTCTCCTCCTGAGCTGCCAGGGACTTATCAAAGTCCTCGTGCTTCTTTATCAGAGCCTCCACGCTGTCCAGGGAGTCGCCCAAGTCCTCATTTGCCAGGAAGGCCTCTTGCTTCGCCATCCAGGCGTCAGCCTGCTCCGTATCTCTGTAGAAGAGCTGAAGGTCCATGCACTGCTCGTAGAGAATTCTCCGTTGTTCCCACAAGGCGAGAAGACTCGACTTGTCCTCTGCGAGGGAATCCAATTTCCTGGCAACTTCTTCTGCAGCGTAGTGTTTTCTCTCGAGGAGTTTATTCCCTGCTAGAGTTGCTGCGTCAAAACTATCAGCTCTGGCGTCGATCTCTCCCTTGTGCTCCTGATGACGTTCAAGAAGTGCCTCAGCACCTGCCACATCCTTGGCAAGCTCGTCTGCTGATATTATCGCACGCATGTCGTTCATCCAGGAAACGAGATCCCTGTAATCAGCGAGAAATCTGTGGAGATAGTAGGACTCATCTAACTTGAATCGACGCTCCTTGGCTTTGGCGGTGAGACTCTCCCAGGACGCCAGGATCTCGGCTCTCTTCGATTGGATCTGCTGGGAGTGATCGACCTGGTGAATTGCTGCGAGACGATCTGCCTCGGCTCCGAGAGTCGCCACTTTGTCCTCCAGTGCTGCCAAATCTCGCTCTATACCCTCGTGCTTTCGTTGAAGTGTCTGGACACTCGCCAGGTCTCGACCAAAATCGTCTGACGACAGCACCACGTCCTTCTCAGCGATCCACGTCATCGTCTCGTCTGCGTCGCGATTGAATCTCTGGATCTCGTGGGCTCCGAAGAGCTTCTCCTGTCGTAGAATTGCGAGTTGCTTGAGTCGTTGCCAGGACTCGTTGAGCTCCTCCTTGCGACCGAGGATTGTGTCGCGCTCTGGGTGTCCATCAAGGAGTAATTTGTCAGCCAATTCATTTACTTCAGTTACTCGATACTCCTGGCTGGCCATGTCCTTCTGGAACTCATCGAATTTTCTCTGGAGGACCTCCACGTGCTCCAGGTCCTGGCCGAATTCGTCGGTCGTGACGAATGCCTCTTTGTCGTGAATCCAGAACATCACTTCGTCGCAATGGCGGATAAATTGCACAAGGACGAGGGCCTGTTGCAGCTTCAGCCCCTTGTCGGCTAGACGTGAGAGGAGGAGCTCCCACAAACGGTGAAGTTCTTCCAGTCGTTTGCGAATCAAATCACTGGAGAAGTGGTGCTGGGCTATCATCTCTGAGCCGGTGTTGTCCAGCAGGACAATTGCGTTGGAATGAGCTGCCACTTCTGCCTCGAACGCCTGGTGCTTCTGGATTTTTGCCTGGAGGTTCGTCGGGTCCTTGTAGTTCTCGTCAGATGCTGCTTGCAATTTTTCGTAGATCCAACCCTCGAGTTCGTCGGCATCGCGCTTGAAATACTGAAAATAACGGTTTTATGTCGCCATGTGATTTGTTTTTCGGCGATATCCCGGTAACCGTTTGCTTTAGAGAGAAACGTTATGAGACCTTTCTCGCAGATTATTCAGATCTCTGAATAAAATTTCTTATCGTATATATCCGTAAACCTCGACCTTTAGACGATATGAGCGAAAATTGTATAACGATTTTCGAATCACGTGGTTGACGTTTCAGGATTTTGTGTTTGTTTTTTCTTGATATCTCCAGAACCGTTGGGTTTAAGCAGAAAAGCCAGAGAACCTTTTTGTAGCCCGCAAAATTGTACACCAAAAAAATTCTCTGTCATTTTCCGCTTATCCCCTCTACTGCGAAGATATCCCCAAAAAACAAATTCGTCCTTCTCAAAAAATTCGAAAAAAGGCTCTCACAAGTTATCCATTCGAAATAATCAACAATCAATTAAAATAAACACTCACCTGAAAGCGACGTGAGTCCTCGAGTTTATCCCTCTTGCTCCTCGCCTCTGACTTAAAATTCGAGTATCTCCCAAGGACTTGTTCCCTCCTCTCCTGGATGTCCTCTGGATTCTCCAGGATCTTCACCTCCTTCGGTGTTATCTGGTCCATCTTGACTGTATCGGACGTTGAAACGTCCCCGGAGTAAATTAGCCTCAATAATCTAGCCCCAAAATGGCCGTCGGGTGTGGCAGAATACAAGATCGATAAATTTCAGTTTGCGTCCTCTCACTGATCTAAAATCAGAAAATGCCAATTTTTCACATTACACGATTGTTCAAACTTTTAAATTCACTTCTCCACTGATGGCTCGAGTTTTTGAGAGACTCTTCGAAAATTTTGAATGACTTTTAGATATTATTTTGGCACTCGTACCGGTTTTACTTCAGCTTCCCACGGGTAAATGAAGAAAACTGGGCGGAAGACGTCACAACAGCGCCACTTACGGTAAATTTTTCAAACTGGGGAGGGGAATTGTAACAATATTTTCATTATCCCCACACTCATAACATTGGAATTTCGAACAGCCTATAGGTATTTTTTTTCCCCAATTATTTCAATGAACTGTAAGTTATTGAGTTTAAAATGACTCATTTCTCTCTTCCCAACACACATGAAATCCATCAATCCATCAATTGTACAGAACTTTAAATTGTTTATAATAATTTATTTTGTAACAATTATTTATTTAAGTTCTCAATTGTTTTATCTTTCATTGAGGAATTATTGAATGTTCGTTCTGGCGTCTATTGAATTCGTTTCGGAGATATTTTGATGTTTTCATTGTGAGGCGAGGATGAGTTCTGAGACATTTTTCCGGTGGGAATATTGTGGATTTGGGAAAATTTCTTAGAATTTTATCTATGGAGTGGGGGCTTGAGGGTCGTATTTACGGTTTAACGCATCATGATTTATTTTTAGAGACTCGACGCGTGACATAATGCGAATAGAAAGTACGTGATGTCATCTTTATTCGATTCATTCTTTTTTTATTCGAGGGTATTTGTTTTGTTTACATTTTTCTTTCCTTACAATTCATATCCATAACACCACCTGACAATTTTCCACGAGACATTTTTTTTTCACACATTAAAACATTTCACAATTAAAACAATTCAATTTATCGAATTATCTATCAAGCAATAAAACGACCACTATTTTTTTTTATGCGTTTTCTTCGGGAATAATAAAATAATAGTACGAAAGAGAATGGAATTTGTGGAATAATTAAATATTTGGTGGCAACAATTTTTGAATTTTATCAATTAACTTTTTGGCAACTTTTCCGTACCTTGATTTTGAGTATTTCTTGTGGACGACGTGACTCTTGGAGGAGCGGTAGCAAGACTCTGCGATGTTTCTTATCAAAAGGTTGCGATAGCAGTTGATCTCCTCGTCTTTGAGTTTTCCGAATGCGTATTTTGTGCGCCAACGAGTGAATGGGGTGCAGTACAGGGTGCTCTCAGGTTCCATGACGAGAGTAATCGCCAATTCTGCAGCTGTAGCTGTCAAGAGGATCGGGCAGATCTTCATGAGGTCATCGTCGAGGAGAGCCAGGTCCAGCTGTCGTGATAAAACACATGAAAAAAATTATTCGTAATTTCCATTACTCTCCGGAGACTATATCTCCGAAAAAAATTTTGTTGGAATTTTTTTTTGGGTCTGAAAATTCCCCACAAAAAAATCCTCTTCATATTTTTTTCTATTCCTACCAGGTCTAGAGATATTCGATAAAAACTCGGAAATGGAATGCCTCTCCCAGAAGAAGAGATATCACCGGAAAATTCCCCCACAAAAATTGAAATGAAAATAAATAAATCCCTATATAAATAATACACTCACCATGTACCCTCCGAAGTAGTAGATCTTCTCCCGTTCCTCGCACCCGATGAAATCGGAATGATCAACAGTGAGGATGAAATAAGTGAGCATAGAGAAAGGATCAGGATAAGTAATCCAAAAGTTCAATGCCTGAAGAATGAGGCCCTCGGCAGCCCTGACATCGTCCTCAGTATAAACTCCATCAGCAAAATGTGCCATTCTCTTGGCCCCCGGGATGCGATAGACGATATAATCCTTCTTCATGACGATCCACAATGCAGCGATCATAATGAGCTGCAGCTTCTGCACAGGAATTCTCTTAGCCTGGAGCACATCGTCGAAGATCCTTACGGTCTGATAGATCATGTGAGAGGGAAGGCCATTATGACTGCCAATACGTAGCAAAAAGTGTACGACTGTCTGCCTCTGATCTGAGCTGGCATTGAGGTGTCGATAGTTCGGAGTAAAATTCCGGAACCTGAAATTGACATCAATTATTTTTAAGATTATTTATATTAAAATAAAAAATGTTTGTAAATTAATAAATATTTTACTGCTGAAGGCTATCGATCCTATGACTAACAAAATATTATTTATATTATTAATATCCTCAAAATATTAATATCCTGATCACTAGCCCATACCGACAAAAAAAAATTCATAATTGCCAACCTGTTCTTCTCCTCCTCGAAGAGCATGACCTCATCAGGGTAGGGTAGGTTGATCTGTGGGATCTGTCCACCTAGAGGACACTTGCACGTCACCTCTTCCCCGTTGTGATCGTGAGTGGATCTGTGAAGAACTTTGATCTTCGGAGGCTTAGGGGGTGGTACATCGTGAGGAGTGACCCTGGTGGGTTCGAAGTGCTCTCTAATGAGTTGATTGACTCTCCTGGCAGGTATAATCTGGGGTATGGGTGCCCTGGCAGCTTCATCGATGGAGTGAAGCCTCGCCAGACGCCTGAAGGTCCTTTTTTGCCTGCCATCTGGTCTCTCCCTGACCTCTGACTTCTCCAACTCCTCCTTTTCCACTCCCATCTCCTGTCCAGCCAACTCCCGCCTTTGGAAAAAATTCTTGGCCTTGCTGAAGGCTTCAAAAGTCTTCCTGGAGGGCAGCTGGCCATCCAGTGGCAAAGGCCTCATAAATCTCGTAGTCAACTTCTTCGACTCCTCCAGCTCCTTCTCCTCCTTGCTCTCGTTGAAGACGTGAAACCGAGTCTTGGTGAACACTCTGTCCTGCCCCTGGACCCTCTGGAGACTGGAATTATGGCTAGTGGATCGGTTCTTCACTTCTCCAAAGCGTTTTGGAATGGATCCTGTGGGCTCGAAAATCGCCCTGATTCTATCATCCACCTCCATAGAGCTGATACTAACGCGTTTCTCAGACTTCTTCAGGGCCGAGGGCATCAGGTTCTCCTTGTCCTTGTTCTCAGAGGGTTTCAACCCCCATGTGATTCTCACTGGTGACGCTCCCTTACTCTCCACATTTTCAGACATTTTTTTTCCTTCGACTTTTCACTTCGGATTTTGCAAGTGTAACGATCCGTTCGGCGACCAGAACTCAACTGAATTGAAATTTCAGTATTTGCTTCTATTTATATCCCCCCTCTTTCGAAGGACTACTTTTGTGTATTTACTATCTCGGATACCCCGAGGACTCGGGGATTAACGAGTCTTTGTTGTGGGATTAAAGCCGGAAAGGAATTTATCAGGACGAGTAGATTCACTTGAAGCCCTTTATGATACATCATGATTTTTATTAAATTTCACCTACAAACAACGAATCACAGAACGTTACATTAGAGTTCCTTACGTCAATCCATCATAATTTTTCATATTTTTTTTTCACATTTTACAATAATCATTACAATGATCCCTATCATAATAAAGTCTTATTCGTTAAAATATCTCGTAATCAATGTTATAGATATCGTAAATTTACTGTATCCCTCCTAAAAATAGGTATCTGCGTGTCAATTTTTCCAATCCTCAATTCCCTAATCACTCACAGAAGTTGTCGTAGGTACTTCATTCAATTGTACTTGATCCATCACGATCCAATGGATCACAAAAATCCAATAAATCATGGAGTAGAAAATAATAAATCGGAGCAAGTGGGGATATTAAGTACTGACTTCGTTAAAAATTCTTTAAAACAGTATTCGTTTCATTATATCATCTTTTAGTTAAAGGCAACTCTTTGTCATTACGTAAAAGGCAATTCGCTTTGTATCATCGTGTGTCCTGGCACTCCAGGTTGGGTTTAAGACCTGATTAATCCGTCTTTCCAAATATTTATGTTTAATTATTGTTAAATGCATGTGTGGGTCCGTCACAGGAGTAATTGGCAGTTGGAGGTCACAGTGTGACTAAAAATCAGCAGAAACGAGTGTTTTTTTTTTTATTTCTCGTTATAAAAAATTTTTTTTCCCCTGTTTTAACTCTGAGTTTCACTCGAAACAAAATATTCCCGAAGGCATCAATCGAGAAATGAAGTCCTCATATTTTGAGAGAGCAGTTTCGTCTTATTCTAGAAACCATTCAACTATCTCTTCACCTGTTGAGAGGAGAGAGTTTATTCTATCAATGAATAGAGGTTCTTCTGAATTCTTAAATCGACATCTCTATGTACAAAATTAAATCTATGGGACACTTTGAAAGCTCACGTCATACCCCAGGGGCGATTAATAAACAACTCATTGTTTCAGCAATGAAGAGGTGCAACGGTTCAAAGAGATTATCTCAAAATCCATGGTAGACTCAAAAAAAATCATAGAACCTTCTTTGTAGCTCTCAATTTATCCCTCAAAACATGTCTCTACAAATATTCCGCTATCGATCCTCGATTCCGAGATAATCCGCAGTGAGTCACCGAGAAAAATTCTCTGATCAAAACAACAACAAAAATTTCGTTTCTCTTCCATCCTCGATATCTCAGAAACTATAAAAGATAGCGGAAACATTGTTGGACCTTTTTTATGGAGCAGAGTGAGGACTACAAAAAAGTCTAATGGTAAATATTTTTATCGCCCACTGATTTCGAAATATTCGATGAAAACAAATGCGCAATGCAATTGACGCGAACGGTTTCACCTCTTCACTCCCAATGAATTAAATTGTAACTTACAGATAGACTATATACACCCCAGGCTGATCACAGTGTCTGCTGGTCAACGACGTCTCAATAATTGGAAGCTTCAATGGTCATTTTGTTAAGAGTGTGCGTATCGATATTCTGAGCATTGGTTTCTCGATATAAGAAATATATAAGAAAATTGGTAAAAACGTTGTACTTTATTAGATTCTATCTAGACGCCGACCTGTGATCCACCGACGTGATATTATATTTAATATCTCACAGAGACACATCAACACTCGCCATTTACTACATAACATACAATATATATTTATATTTATATAATAATATAATATTCAATAATAGATACTACTGTTTATTCCTCTTTATATAATATATACAGAGACAGATAGTCTGTCCCGATAATTCTATGAACCATTAACATACGAATTTTTTTTTTTCCTCTGTTTTTCTCAATTTTTTTTTTTCCCTCGTAAAACTGTTTTTGGACCTCGTGTCAGCACCTGTTGCATTATTCGAGATGATTTTACAGGTGGGGCGTTAGAAATAAAAATATCACCCTCCCTGGATCCCCTTTTCTCTCAAACCTTTTCACAGCCCACAATTCGTTTCATATACACCACCGCGATCTCTCCCCCAGCGTAACAATTTCCAATCGAATACAATAAATAATTTATCCAATGTACAATCTACAGGGGACCTCTACGATTTTTCAAACTCTCGAGCCATTGCAGTAATTTTTTTAAACATCAATTATAAATTTTTAAAACAATTTTACAAAATATATAAACAAAAATTCATTGCAGTTCGTAATTGTTAAAGAACAACGCTCTAAAGATCTATACTACAATTTTTGTGGTTTATCCCACAAATATTAAATTTTTCAATGAAGAAAATAATTGATGTGTAATTAATTATTGAGTTCTCCTGCAATAGGACAGAATTAAACAAATTCTCAGTCTCCCCTCAATCAATTCACCCGAAATTCCAACGAACATTTTTTTTTTCTCTAAATCACAACAAAAGATAAAAGGACGATGAGAATTTAGTGAATGAGAGTCAGAGAGGGTTGAGTCTGTGGTACATGCCACATGGGGACTTTGTCAAAAACCCACAGGGGATAGGCCTTATCTCACGCACCCGTGCAATCAATCTCGATAATATCCTTGGGTACATCGACAAACTGGTAAACAAGCCTCTGTCCATCGACTTTAGCGAGTATTCCCCGTTGGTAATAGTATCTCAGGGCGCGACCCATTGTCTCGTAATTCATATCTGGTTTATTCTTGTGGAGGCCCCAGAGTCTCGACACCGCTTTACTATCGACGAGTTTAAAAACACCCCTCTCGCGATTCGTCCATTTTATGTAGCGCGGGCAGTACTCCCTGTCCTGAAGGAGCTTAAGGAGAAACTCCCAGAGATACGTGGTGGAGCCCTCGCGGGATTTTCGTTTGACAGCTGCACCGTCTGCCTGACGTGCCTTCTTCAATTTACTCTTTTTAGCGCGCGGAGGAAAGCCAAGCTCCAGGAGGTAGAGATCGTCGGATACTGAACTCGTTGCGGCCTGAATTACACTTGTTGGTACACCCCCTGGGCCACGGGGTGGTGAAGGGGTGCAGGGGGCTGCAAATTGCGCCCCTGCGCCGTACATCGAGTTCACGTAGCTGTTGTAGCTCTCCGACACTGAAACATTAAAAATTGATTTTTAATTCTATATAACACGTTACCAAATCTCAGGAGGGATTTTTTGTAAAGACCTTTTTTACAGAGAATTTCACACTCTACAAAAAAGGTCCTATACAAACTTTTGTGGGATGAGGGGTTTTTGAGATGGGCGGGAAAACGTCTGGAGTGAATTCGCGTGAAGTGATTTCGGAAAACCGTCGGTTGTTGCAAGATATCTCGGGATAGGAGAGGGATAGCTCCGGAAGGTTAAGGGCCTTTTTTGTAGTCCGGAAATAGATCTATGAAATTGATTTTATGTGAATTTTACGTATCTTTGGTAGATTTTGAGATATGAGGGAAAGAGGGGGTGATTCTGGAAAGAGTGGAGGATCGGTTATTGAGGTAGCAGGAGAATAATTACCGATTCTGGAATCGTGACTGTTTCTACTTGCAATAGATAATGTTTGAGGTCTGTTTTATCCGTGGAAAGTTGAGTAAAATACTGACAGATGGCGCATCGAAACGGTCGAATGCCTCAAACAAAGACTATCGTCATCGCAATCATTACGTCGATATCACTTGGAATCTAGGACAATTTTAATGACGATATATCTCTGTCAAGAGGCACTCAACAATCACCGATAAGACAAGTGATTTAAGTAGACGGTGAATTGTGTCAAAACACCCACAATTATGGAATAAAGGCGTAAGATCGAGTCTTCAAAATGAGATTGCGATTAGATACAGGCGAGAATTATCATCAACATGACAATTCTCATTGGCATTTTCATTCACACCAGTCAACACCGTATTTTCCTTTCCCGGAAATCGCGAAAGAAATTCAACTACTCAGTCTTGTAATCCCATCTTGTTGGCGCGAATTTCCGCGTCGTTATCTCACGAAAATAACCGTTATCTCGATTTTTAATGGGGCTATCAGTGATTATGAAATACATGCGATAACTCCGGGCAAATGAGAAAAATTCAACCAGTCAATTCTACAATATTTAAATTTTTAAATGCCTGTGTTCTTGATCTTCGTAATCCAGATGACCCGTCCTATACTATCTGGATTATCCGGTGATAATCCACTTAATTCTAATTCGATATTCTAGCGGGCCACAATATTTCTGCAATCACCTCCATATCAACACATTTCCCTCGAAAATATTGCGCATTCTATTCCGCGTAGATGCGAATCTACAATAAAACTGAATAGCATCTGCAGATAATGATCTAGATTGCCGGACAATCTGAAGATAAAAATATCTCCTAAAATTTGGCCATTTCAAAATTCAGCGAGTGATGTCGCGACAAAATGGCGTCTGATGATGTGTCATCATGTGGCTAATCATCTCGACTTACCGTGCGCACCCCCCAGACATCATTACCACACGGATATGACGGCACTTTACCCCATTACTCCCACCGAGAAAAAATTCAAATGAAAAAAGCATTTAAAAAAATTCACTCAACAAGAGAGAAACGAATCAGTATGTATACCCAGGAATACAAGGCGGCTGTAGTGGGGATGAGTGCCGCCTGGCAGTATGATAGAGGACTGACCCGAGCCAAGGTTGCAACGGGTGACGCCATCCCTCCACCTCATCCACCCCCTCACCACCAACTTCTAGTGCATAATAGCAAGAGAGCGCTAACTAAACTCCGGGGTCGGACGCTAAACTGAGAACTCGGATGTCGTATATTCATCTTCCGTCTCAATTCAACTTAAGTATCTTCCCCCACCCTCTGACCATCCCGACAGATTTTCAAAGTCACCGAAAAATGTCATCCGAAATATTCACCATCTACTTCACAATATGCAAGTTATTTTTAACCTGGAAAATAACCATAAAACCGATCGATGGGAATTAAAAATATATTTTGAGATATTGAAGTGACGGGAATTTTTGATTTCGTGGATTTTAGAAACTTATATCAATTTTGATTTTAATATATTTGTGATGGAGGTCACGGTAAGATGTTGTTTTCAGAATGAGAAAGATGCAACGGATCTCGGTACTAGGTTAGAGTAACCGTAAGTTGACGAGTATGACTATCCGCTAGATGAGTCAATCGTAGACCCGTTGTCTAGGAGTGTAGATAGTGGTGGGGATAAACAGACTCTGTGGCTTCACTGACCTATACCAACTAGTGCTCGAGTCGAGGCTATCGTCTAGGTTTGTGCTAGAGAGAGAACGACTATTTACACTGATTATTTACCGTCGGACTGTTGCCGAAGAGAACAATAACTAGAAGTATCGATTATCAATGCAACGATCGATCATCGATTGAATTCACTTCCTGATAATCGCAGGTTTGAGGGTGCGTTTAACATCTAGGAAGAGACCAATAGTTAAAAATATACGGGAAGGGGCGGGGCGTCGGTACCGAAGTGGTCCGAGAACGAACGAGAGTGAAGTGGTGGCATCAGTATCTAAAGAGAACGGAGAATACATAAATTTCGAGTGAGAAGAGACGGAGGGGGTGTCTCGTTTATTTTTCGAGAATTTCGCACTAGTCTCGCGGCCGGAAGTACAAGTATAGCGAGAAGGGGGGCAGTGGAGGCAAAAACGAAATGGTGAGAGGGGGAGGATGGAGTGGGGATTCCAGGGACATGGTGATCGTGACGGCTAGAGGTAGAAATGGGTTGGAGGAACCAAAAAAAAAAGGGAAAATAAAGGAACTGGGAAGGAGAATGAGAGAGGCTGGAGAGGCACTGATGGTACGTGAAATAGAAGGGATAACAACATGTGGAGGTAATTCTGGTGTGTGTGTGCGCGGATAATTGGCAGAGGGAGGAAATATCGAGGATATTTGTATAGATGGGATCTTCTGGGGTCTGTAAGATTGACCAAACAAAGGAAATTCAATGATTCTGAAGCGGAAGGATCAAATTGTTGAAGTTAATTCTGACTTAACTCTGATTTATACAAATCATCCGGGAAGCTATTTGATTTTTTGAAGATTGAGAGGTAGTGGGATTAAGCTGAGGGTGAGAATTGTCAATTTTTATCGTATTGTCCAGGGGTTGACTTGAGGATAGCTCAGCTGAATAAGTAAAAGGATAAATAGTTGGTGCGTATCGAAGTTGCGTACGTGAGTGCATAGAGTTGGATAAAGATGGTCTTGGCTGGAATAAGGAGAGGCAGAGGGAGAGGGCGGAATTGGACGGGGCAAACTGAGAGAAGGGGAGAGTTGACCTTCAGCTGCGCCGGGAAAGTCAGGCAGTCACTGACCGACAGACTAACTTAACTGCTCTATCCTTCTCGTCTCTCTCCTCTACCCCTTGTTTCGTATATTCCATCCATTCGCAACTGCTAGTCCGATGCACCAAGAAAACCAGGCCTGTCAGGCAACCCTCTCTCTTCTTCCGTCTCGCACGCACACGAGAGTAACAATTTTATGTATAAATGTGAGGGTATTCTTTTTAGAGAATGTATTCTTTTTACTTATGCTTGTTCTTTATCATCAGACCCTTTCGTCCTTACTGTGTCGTCCACCTCGCTCTTGGCTTTTCGTTTCATCCCGAGGTTCTCTATTTTGCCGAGATTATTTTTTTTTTTCGTCTTGCTCTTCCTCATCAGGGAATTCAAGACGGGATCCTGACTCGTTAGGAATTTTTATCTCGTTTGTCCTCGTTTCATAAACGAGTTATCAGGCTTGGATGATTGCTCTCGGTTATTAATTACGGTATTGTCTAATGTTTGGAATTATTTGGTATCAGAAATATTCATAAAAAATATTATTCGACGCATGTGCAACTGAATTTTTTAGCTCGTTGATTGGTAGCCCTTGGCATCGCCTCAGGGCACAAACTTCACGCTCGTTAATAACTCGTCACACTTGTGTCGAAATATGCTATTACTCTTCAGTATATAGTTTTTCACGATTCCCTGTGAATGACTCTCGAAATTGCGAGCGAAAAAACAACTGGTTTTTAAACGAAGAATTTACATGAAATTTACCAAATAAATAATTGGCAACTATGATTTTCACCAAGTGTAGATGTAACTGTTACCGAGCATGAAGAAAAAATGTTTCACGAGTGTTGCGTTTTTTTTTTGTTCGTTTGAGTTCGAGAATTGAATCTGTTTTGGTTCACGGTGTCACATTCGCGAGAGCTATGAAAATTCCGAATGATTCATTTCCGGTTTGTCATTACTTCCTGCTAACGTGTACATAAAAATCCAGAGGGATGGGTCGCGAGTAGACGAAGGTGAAGAGGGGATGTCTGATTGGTGTGAGTGAGAGGATTCTAAATATACAGCATTACAGAGCGAGTTAATCGGGGCGAGCTATATCCGCGTATAAATGAGCCTTCTCGTCTGAATAAGGGCCAGATCCCCTGGACGGGACTCTCGTGGTTAATTGTAGCTAGAAGAACAAAGAACTTTATTCGGAATTCTCCTCTGGTACTAACTGTTGATTTTGTCGTGACTGCGCACGCACGGGATCCGTTGCTGTCCTAGACCTAGACCCAGTGGGAGCCTAGCCTAGACCCGATGGATAGTGGGGCGAAAGGGTAATGGGACCTCCATTAATCGGTGGAGGGAGGAGCACTGGGTGTCTGGTCGATTGGTGACTCGCAACTCGCTAACTTCAGGGAGAAAGTGAATGTGGATATGTCACATGAGGAAGGGGTTACGCGCTCCTCACAGCTGTATTTTTTTGCGGTGAACTGAATTTTAAATAGTCGAAGAACAAAGAAATTCCACTAAAGCATTCGTCTACACGTCGAGACAGCGACCGCTGAATTTTACCATCAACGTTATTAGAATTACATTCTGCCAAAGACATTTATTTCGCCATTTCTATTAATTACGAATTGAAATTTTTCTACTTCTCAATTACTTCACACCTGATTTTCACGTGATTCTCTCGAATACCTCTAAAAATCTTGAAAATAAATTAAGTCAATTCTGAATCTGCTTCTCCCCTCAAAACTTCAAGTCAGCAAACCCTGAAATTTCAATTTCCTCTAGCAGTCATAACAATCCCCACTCATCAACCCCGTCAACATCTCGAGACAATTCCCCAATTAAAACCGAGTCAAGCCGTCAAAAAAAAAAAAAATGCAATAACAATCTACAACAAAGGAAAACGGTACCCGGAATAAAGCCCCAGAAAGAAACTTAACGACAGACGGTATTTTGGCATCGCGGAAGGGGTTTCCGATGGAGTTGGGTGGGGGTAGGAAGGGAGAGTGAGAGTTGGTGCAACACTCCGATGGCTGCTGGATTGCTTCTGGTGGCTGCGTGTGGCTGCACACACTCTCATTTCTGCACGATGCGCCCCCTCTGGCCCCCCCCATGCTCCCTCCCGCCAGGAGGGGGAAGAGGGGGGTCTGATGGAGGGCAGAAAGGGGCATCAGGGGGGAGCAACCACACGCCAGAATAGGAACGCCTGGGTGCAGTGGGGTAGAGGGAGTCAGACGGGGTGAATTGCCGGCGACAAGGTCACCGTCTATACCTCTTCTGCTAAACCGGCAATGCCTTCGCGCATTATAACTCGCCTCGGCACACTCTCTAGCCCCGAATGCGCCGTCGCATCCACTGTGTTTTAATACACATACAACCGAGGGGGGAGAAGGGAGGAGGGGGAGGGGTTGAGGGGGAATTTCTATATACACATCCGTGTCCAGTCCCCCGACGCCGAGGAATTGTGGTGTGTGCGTCATGAGGCGTATAATGGAACGAGGAAAGTGACACTCAGCGGTTGGAGCGATGGAATTTTGGTGATTACGGGGGTCTAAGTGGAATGCTGAATTTTTTGGGAATAATATTTACCATTGAATTGGAAGATTTGGTTTTTACAGGATTTTTTTATTTTGAAATGGGGTAGGGGTGGATTTTTGATGGATTGTGGAATCATTGGGGATTTGGAATGATGGGGCAGGGGTGGGGGTGGGGGTTTGTTCTTTTAGATGCGGAAATTTGGACGAGATAAATGCAAAATTGTTTTTACATCGGGCAACGCGAGATGTGGGGGGAGGGGATTCCTGGATTTTTTTGGGGAAATAATGGGGAGGGGTATTTTGCGGATGAAGGGAGAATATCATTTTTTGGTGGGTGGGAATTATTTTTTTTTCTTTTTTGCGGGTCGTTTGGAGGTTTTCTGGGATTTTATGGAAAAGTGGGAGTGAGGGGTGAGGGGTGAGGGGTGAGTGGTGAGTGGTGAGGGATGAGGGAGGAAGAGGAAAGGAGAAGGAAGAGGGAGGTTTTAATGGTGAGGAGTTGGGGATAGGGTTGTTGGGTGGATGTGAGAAATTGTTGGAAATTTGCCCTCGGTTGAGAACCATTTAAACTCAGTGTTGCACACAGGCGCAACACAGCTATGCATTTTTGCCCGGCGGCTGAGGCGAGTGGTGGAAACACTCGTGCATCCACACAGCAACACAGAGACTTAGGCCTGATAATGTGTACAAATATACAATACGACGATATACGATCGTGGCAGGGGCAGAGACCCAGGAAGGACGCGTTGGCGCGTCTGACTAGCCGACGGCAGACCTCACTTTCGTTATTAAATGATATTTATTTTCATTGTTTCGTACTGCCGGTTTGCGCAGAGATTAAGAGAGAATGGATGACAATAGAATAGTTTATGATAGATTTGAGATTAATTGAAATATGTATTTTGACGATTTATGCATTTTATTTTCTTCTAAAAACAAAAACCGTGAAAATAAGACTGTCTGCCAACTGAATAACGGAATCTTCGAGTAGTTTATATTTATGTAGATGCCGAGGCTTTAAATTCACGGGGGTGGAAATAGATGCGCGGTAAATACACGAAAATACTTTTCAACGCCAAGTGCCAAGAGGTAGAAATTAAAAATTCAGGAATAAAGTTGATTTTGATTGTTTCAAGATTTTCCACTGAGTTTTCAATGAATATCTCCGGACCTAGAGGAGCTAGGGGAATTTTCATGGGGAACTTTTTGTAGCTCTCCCCCAGCCTTACAAAAAAGGTCCTCTTGAGAATTTCACAATTCCCACAGGTCGAGCGATATTTATAGAAAACTGGAAAGTCCAGGTTTATATTCAATTAACTCAACTGCATAATTCCGCGCTTGGATTTTCGCTCGATATCTCCGAATGTAAGCGAGATATGGGGAAGACTTGTTGAACCTTTTTTAAAGCTCATGAAATTTCCCACAAAAAATGTCCCAACGAAATTTACCTAGCCGATAGAGATCCCGAGACAGGGCTGAAAGTTCACTCCCCACGTCAATGAACCTGTCACATGCCACCCTTCACACGACAATAAAAGCCCCCAGAACATGACCTTTGCATTCACCATCACGAATCAGGCGAGTGGAATGGAGATACCAGACAGAGAAAGAGAATAGGCCACGCCCTATCACGCCTAGTCGACCTAGACCTAGACCCGGTCTAGCTAAACGTCAAGAGTGATCTCTTATTTTTACTCATCCCTCGTCATCGTTTCGCGTACAACTCTAGTACTACAACTAAATAAAATCACAAATATCACGTTTGTAAGAATAGGATCGAAACACTCATTTGCCACAGCTATTCCGGGTGATTGTTGGCATAGTTCGGTATTTTAAAAATAACAGTTCGGTTGAAGGGGAGAATGTCTTGATCTAGGGTAACCGGGCCATCGGTGCTAACGTTTGTTTATTCTTCCCACATTTTTTTTTCTCTCTTTTCCTCTGAGGACGAAAAAATATGGAACGTGCCAAGAAGTAGTTTGCGATGGCAAATAGCTAGGAAAAAAAATTCATACTGCATGGACAGTTGCAATTTCGAAATAATTGAATAATCTTTTAAATGCCCCATTCTCTCGATTTTTTTTAGTGATTGAAATCTGCATGTGAATTAACTTTCAGAAGTTGTAGTTAAAGTTGTTGAATCACTGATAAAAATTATACTTAATTATGAGAAAAAATCAACTGCATAATAAATGCTCCTTTGAAAATGGTTTAGTTAGCAAAAATAATTTTAGCAATTACAATGAAACTAATTTGCTAAAAGTTGTTCGTGCTGTCTGCATGCGTAATTTTCTTTCCAGCCATAGGGTAAAGGAATCGATAATTCATGTCACAGTTATCCACGATAAATGAATACCGCTGAGGTATCGGCTTACGATATGTCGAACGTAACGAAAGTGAAATTTTACGAGAGAAAAAAAAAATAATGGAAAATATAATTGCGCAATAATTTCGTGACACTGAGACCCACGTCAAGACGCACCCATCGAATTACCCACCGCGATATTGAATGAAACGAGTTCAATGATTTCATTTTATTTAGGTGTGTTATTTGTTTTTGATGATGATTGATAGTGACGAAATGATTGGAATTCGACAGGTTAAATTTTCCACGAGTCTCAGGTCACAGCGTGAGATTACCCCAGTGGGTTGAGGCATTCGTTGGTATCCGCAATGGGAACACGGCGGTAGCGGGGCGTCCCTTGGTTCTGTAGTTACCAAATCGCGGTGGCGCAATATTTTGCTTATTCACGTTCGATTATACAATCCGGCACACTTTTACTTGCGGCCCGCTTCCACGTTCGGTTAGCACAGCTTCTTTAAAATTATTTTTTTCACCGTAAGTTTTCGATTTATCTCACCGATCTCTGATCATTTCACCCTAATTTTTCTATAGATCGGAAAATACTGTCTTACATCGACCCGATTTTATTCCTACCGCCGTGCAAACTAGACTGGAAAAATATCGACAGGTGATACTAACCACGATACGACCAGAGAATTGAAAAAAAAAAATAATTACTCCAGCTACTATGATTCCTATCAATTTGTTGCATCTCGAGATGACTTCGACCCATTGAAAACCTTGCAAACGATATTTTTCACAACGATTGAAAGAGAAATCGAGTAGATAGTGAAAAAAAGGGGAGAGCAATCATCTCTGGGTATGAGTGAGGGGAATAGTTACTGGAAAATAAAAAGTGCATTGGGAAGGAAACGAGTGAGCCCGAGCGAGGCAGAAGAAGCCGAGGGAAGTGAATCTGGGACGACGTGCCAGAGAGTGGCAACTGGGTCACGAGCGAACGGCCGGCTGACGACGCTACACCGTCTACTGTCAACCGATTGATATTTTTACACGGAGATAAGTGCCCGCGAATTTCAAGTCAACCCGTGGAAAACGCAATTCGAAAAACAATCTCGTTCGAACAAAAGCGAAAATTGATTATATTCGATTATCGATATCTCGGTAATGGCTGAGTGAAATTTCTCGATTCTACTCTCAACTGCGAGAGTTTTCTCTAAGCCGCAAAATAACACCCGACTAGTCTAAATCGCGTCGTTCGTGTAGGTGATACCGATTCAGAAAATTATTGAATCAAAGGGGGGGGCTCAGCCCCCTCGCTTTAATATTTCGTGGTAAATTAAGACATACTATCAATTCCTTCCTATCACTATTTTCATTTACGATTACGATTTATAATCCATTTTTTTCTAATACTATCGCGGGTAAGGGGGGCGATAGGGGGGGGGGGCTCAGCTCCTGGTCGCACAACTGTCAAAAATATAAATGCAATGTGATAAAAACTTACGCGTCGGCGGCTGACGATAATGCAGATGCTGAAGACTTTGGGCTTGATGATGATGATGATGGTGATGTGGTGGTCCCATTGTTGACGGCATATTGTGGCTACTATGTGGATGATGAGGTGAGCCACCTCTGTGTGGATGATACTGGGAGTTGTGGTGCTGATGGGGATGATACGACTGTGGCAAGAATCCTGTGGAGGACGGATAAACCCCAGGGCTGTGGCATGCCGATCTGCCAATAGCTATTTTATAAAGAATTGAAAAGAAAAAAAAAAGAAGAAATTACATCAATAAATTCAATCTGTAATATTCAAATTGAAATTGGTAATACTCACCTGATGGCAGATGAGAGTGATGAGAGGCGAGATTCGATTGGATCGATGAGTTTGGGTTGAGTCTCGCTTTGAGCAAAAGATTAGCGTCCTCATTACCACCCGACGATGTACTAGACTCTACGTCACTAACACCACTGTCGGCAGGACTCGCTGGCAGTGAACCACTCCCTAAACAACGTGTTAACATAACAATCAGCATGATAAAAATAAAAAAGAGTAATTGTCAACTTAAAAGCCTCTAACGACTTGTCCAAATCCCCTGAAATTTGACTCATCACGTGCATCACTCGAAAGACCATCAATCAATCCACCACCAGCCAAACAATTACCATCAATTTATCAATTCTCGAGTCGTCGCATCTAAAAATAGCTGAACCCATCGAAAAGGTGTGTGAAATATTTTTAAACATCACGTACACCCACCCTAATCTCACAATCTCCCGACACATCCCGTCCGCTCATTTCTTTTGAGTTTCTCATTACCCCACCACCAAATGCTCATCACGGAGTGAGAGTAAAGGAAATAGGGATATTTGTCCCTAAAAACAACGATTTGTTGAAATAATGTTAGACTGAACGATGGTGGCAAAGGGGGAGACAGTATGACATCCCGAGTTGGTGGTGGTGGATACATTGAAAAGAGAAGGCAAGGGGGCTCGCAATTTCAAGGCACGAGACGGCGTAACGAGTTTTTTTTCGCGTGGCTACTCAATTAAACCTATCTTTATGCAAGGGGCGAAGGTCATCCAGTCATTTGGTATGCACATTGACAGTCTTCCCACGGTCAACAGTCTACATAACCGTCTTAAACCTGTCTGCAGAAAGGCTTTCATCAGTTGCTTTGCATGATTGCTGTTTGGGTGAGGGCATTCAATCGAAAGGGTTATGGATATTCCATTGAAATTACCTCATGACCTAGGCCCTGTTCATTAGCAACACTCGTTGATAAATTTCTAGCTACCTTTATGCAGACAGGATCAGACAATTCTGATAACAAGCCAAGACAATGCCCTAACGACAATTCAACTCAGGCTGAAAGAGATAATGCATATATTCACCTGGCGTACTATTGGCTATTCCATTTGAGCTGTACGGTGGCTGTCCAAGCTGTCCATGACTCGACAGATGTCTCCCATAGCCACTCTGAACGCCAAGATGCTGTTGAGGATGTTGGGACAATATTCCGTGAAGTAATCTAGCCCCTGTTGTGCTGCCAGGTTCGGCTTTCACTGTTGCCAGACCCAACGACTCCTTATCTCCATTCGTATCGTGTGGCTGGACCTCCCGCGTGTCCACTGCAACATGAAAGTATTTAAAATATTGACAATTAAATGTCTGTACCAGGAACAATATGTTATTTAGTATTTCTTTCATAATTTGTATCTCATGTTTAATGCATGCTCTGCTCAAAGGGCATAACCGAAGATTCCCACAAGTTGAATACAAACGGTCGAAATTACTCAACAAGGGAAAAAGAAACCGTGAAATAAAATGAGAATTGAAAAGCACGAGTTCCTGTCGCTCTAACACGCGCAATAACATGGGGATATGTACGGCAATTGGTTGGCTGGTGTGTCGAGAGGAAGTGAAAGCCGCGGGTAGACTCTCCTTGACCCACTGCAACGTTTCTACCTTCCTTTCAGGCACATGCCTAGTGCCACCGTCAGGTTCATTAAGCAATTTCACGAGGCTCGATAAACCGTGGAAGGGAAAATCGTTTGAGGGGAAAATCCAAGACTTAGTAATAAACTACAGGGGACAGGACATTATAACTTGGCTTCCTTAACTTGGAGAATTTGCTATGCCTCAACCAGCAGGTCATATCTATTTATTGCTGTGTCATTCACTTGACCTGCTCGAGACGTCTTAAATCATCATCAATATTTCAATGAATGAGCATGATGGACACGTCTTTCCGGTACTTCGGGAAATTTTTTTACTGGACAAATCACATTCGTAATTGATCGCTCATTTTGACGCCATCTCAAATGCCTTCAAATCATCGGTAGAAAAATAACTTCGAAGAATATCGAACGCCGGAATTGCTGTTCGAGGAAAGGAACAAGCGAACTTTGAAAATTTGGGATTCGTCAGGAAGTTTAGAAGAAGGCAACTAGAAGACCAGACCGAACAACTCAATCGAATATTCATAGAAAGGGAGCAAAGGGAACATCTTGGATAGACCAAGTGCTTTCAAGTGTCTCCCATATCGGGTGAAACACCGATAATCGATTCCCCCAAGCGAATAACAACGGCTTCTTCGCTTGTCTGACGAGAGATATTTCCAGTCTCGGATTAAATCACGACATGGAATTTTCTAAAGTCGTCGATGTGATGGAATCATCATTATTTCACACCAAACGATATTGATCGGTTATATTTCGGTGTCTCATAGTCATCGATGGTCTGAACTGTCTCTCCAATCTCATCGATTATTCAAATAAACCCGTGGGAGACAATCGAATTCTTCAGATATTGAAAACAAAATTCACGAGTTTATGAATTCCTCATGAAGAATCGATTCGTTTTGTTCAAATTGCATTTACCGGAAAATAGAAAGTTTTGAATAAACTGTCAAGAATCGAGAGGCTACTATCACTTTCCCGACGCGTGATGACAGCCCTAAAAGGGGTGCATTTTAGATGGTTTCCGACGTTTTCGTTCGCTCATTTCTCTTTTTCCATATTTCTCTCATTTTTTTTTTATTTCACGTTCAACAGACGCCGACCCACACGTATTGTCAGTTGAATTTGATGTGTATGAAACTTCGACAGAGGCGTAATAACAACGTACGTCATGCAAAAAAAGCTGTCATGCTCTGTATTTTATATCAAGTGCACCTGGTGTTTTTCGCAAAGGATAATGCACAGAGGGGGATGGACTTCTCTCTTCCTGGGCCCTAATAATGATGGTTTAACGTTTTTCAATTAGTTTTTTGAGGTTAAAGTGAGTTTGGGGCTCATTGTTCTTGTCAATGAATTCGTTAATGTCGGTTTGACAATTGGTGGAGTAAAAACAGTTAACGTACTTTATTTTTCAACGGATGTCCAATGGCGGAAACGATTACGAGAATTACGCGGTATTTTAGCCTGCTGTTTTCAGGTGATAATAAGGTGGATTTGAAGGGGCTTTTTTTTCGGTGAAAAAGGCTAACCTTGAGTGACCTTGATTCACGGTGCGAGAGGGAGATGGATAGTAGGAGGTGTGGGTGGGCGTCTAGCCGCATCGACCGAAGCGTTCCTATTTCAAACTCACCACCGGGAGTTTCAATTCTAGCGGCTCATATTTGTCCTCGTCTCAAAGACAGAGTCTTCCGTCTTTACGATGAAGCAATTTCAATGACTCAAAATATTTATTCAACATTGAAATTCCGGGGGAGGAATTGCACCGGGAATTCCATCGAGCACTAACTGTCAAAAATTTGGTTTTCATGATTCATTGACACCGATCGCCGTTTCAGAAAGTCCATTATCATTATGTTATAATTACACCATTCAACTCGGAACTTAATCGGGAAGTCTAATGATAATTGAGCATTAATCAGTGCTCTAGGAAATCAACACCAAATTTTTTAGTCTTTTCAATATTGATCTGAGGTTTTCCGCGGTTTACACAATTTCTTTCAAAAGTGTTAGATAATGTTGTCTTGTGATTGCATAAATTAGTGAGATAATTAAGGGTCGAGTGGTTGTATTGATGAGAGGGAAAGTTATCAATATAATATTGCCCATGGGAAAATATTTTGGGATATTGTGGTGGCAAACATCTGCTGCATTTAGTACGTAAGGTCAGCGCCGGACCACGCAACTTTCTCCGTGTACACACGCGAGTGCATTGCATAACGGTAACGAGACTCTCTCTTTCTATGTGACATCACACGATCGCACACTTGTGGTGCCCGGTGGGTCATAAACGTACCTGTACCGGAATAATAAAATGAGGGGGAGGCGGAACGGGGGGAAATTTTCGCGAGGTGATAAGTGGCGGCGATCGGTCGAGAGGGTGATTTGTTTTTTCTCCTTTTGTCCCGGGACCTTGAAACAATGAGTTTTGCGTTATCGGGAGATAAAGCGTGACATGAATTCATGCATGAGACTCACGTGACCCACTTCCGGTTGACGAAATCGAGAGTGGGCTCGTTCGAGAGGGAATTTTTCAGCGCACGCGCACGCACCCATGCAGCAGCAATCATTTCTGCACGTTGGATTCAGATAAAAAAAAAAATATTTAGCTCTGAGAATTCACGTTTCGCATATTTTTAAATAATAATTGTTGATGATAATTATTATTATTTGATGTTTGATCTTGAATTGATAAAGAATCTTGGCATTAAAATTCCGCGAGCGTGGGTTTCTGAAAATTCCGGAAACTTCTACCGGTTAACGTAGATTTAATGGTTTCCGATTGATTTCTGGGAATTTAGAAACAGCAGCGGGAATTCACGATGTGGAATTGGAAATTCTGAGAAGTCGTGGGTCCCAGAAACCCAAAGAAAAAAAAAATTCAGGTCAATGATGTCAGCCGTGTAAAAAGTGAAAATAATGAACTCAAATCCAAGGGCATCCCCCATCAGGGGTATTTCCCACATCAGGTAAAATTTCCCCTACCTGAGGAAAGACGAGAAAATGTTCCAGTACATCCAAGAAATTCGTCCCTGACCTATTTTCAAGACGTATGAATTGCGCCCCCGTGAAGCCCGTCGAAACGTCGCCGGGGCGTCCATTGTCGTTCGTACACGACAGGAAAGAAATAAAAAGATGAATATAGAGAAAAATAAAGGAGGACAGTGTATACAAAGCATAAATACGCGGTATGCGACCTCGTACGCCCACTTCCTCCGAAGCGAAAGCGAGAGAAACAACGGATTGATGAACAAGAAAATTATTTCATCGATTTTTTTCTCACGCTTTTGCATTTTTTTTTTTCAAAATGAAGTGACGTAACCCACATGTACAATATCTAATATATCAAACATAACACGTTAACCATTTAATCTAAATAAATTGCGTCGAATTTTCCACAGGAAAGAGCTCTAACCCACTTGATCTCAAATCGAATGAAAACAATAACCCGCGCGTTTCAATCGCCCTCAATTATCTCCTCAACAATTAACCCGAGAAAAAAGCACGTCAAATATTTTTTATAGACATAAAAATTCCCCACCTAAAGTTCCTTATCACTGTGTCCCGTAAAAGCCACCCCGACGAAGATAACGGCTGTGAGAGTTGGTCGATCGCATCGGGTCAGAACCCCAAAAATTCATAAACCGAAAAATTCAAAGTTAAAGATGAGAAAAGAGAAAAGTGAAAACGTGTCAAGGACGAGTGATACCTCACGAAAGAACGAGTAACTAGTATTGCGCCATTTGCCACTGGTGAGAATAAAAAAGGAAACGCGATGAATAAATGATACGGTAGAGACAAATCGGGAAAACAGTGGGACACCGAATTCATCGGATTGTGAGACCGGAAGAGACCGGTGATGACGTAAGAGAGCGGAGTGGGAGATATCTCGGTTAGGAGACGATGGGAAAGGGAAAATATTCTCGTGGCTCAGAGAGGCATGCGGACCGATGCAATGCACCTAGTCGGTGGTTATAATAGATCGGGTTAGATCTAGCGTAGGCACTACGCCTAGCCTACAACGCGATTTACTATGTAGGTCAGGGCTGATGCATTGAGCGCTCACCATCGCGCTTCCTCTTATAACTACATGCACGGCTCATCGTCCGGCGCTTACCGATTATAACAATGAGGGGACGATATTAAAAGCCAGACGATATCGGAAATTTTTGATTTTTAAGACTTCCAGGATTTTCCTGGTCTACCATATATAGGCCAAATTGACGTTTTTTCATTTTTATGGAAAACTTGTTATGGGGTTGAAAATATAACGTATGGGCTTTGTCATTATTTAATGAATCACGAAGTTGCTAGGTGGTGCGAATATTTTTCTGCGTTTTTCTGAAGTTTTAAAAGGAATCACTGAATTGTAAGAAAATGGTGGACGATAAGTGAGCGATTCTGAAATTTTGAAAATTGTGAATTTTTGCTATCGGTTGGTGTCGACTTTAATTTGAGAATTTGGAAAATCTCAGGTCAACCCCTTGTGAAGAATTAAGTTGAGACTTGAAAATATCAATTCAAATTGAGATAAAAAATCTCATGTTGAAGAGACCGATTTGAAATAAAAAATTAATGTCCTGACCTCAACTCACTTAATTTTTATTGGATTTTTTCCACACATCGTAATCTTGCCTCATCCGTCCCAGAAAAATGCGATATCATTTTCGAAGAATTATTTGAAGACCTGATAACTACTGAAATTAAAACTGCAAATAATGGATTTGTCCAGCGATTCTACTTCGATTAAATCAGTGGATCGTAATTGAGATCTTTGATATCTAATTGCTGATCGAATGTTTGATGTTCTTGATCAAATATTTTCGCGATTCTCGACTCAACTTCAATGTTCCTCCACCCCCGCATTTTCAAAAAATTGTATAACCAAAAAATCTCGAAACGTTAATCACAAAAAAAATCATGTTTTTTCCCTTCAATTTTTTTTTTCATACAATTCACGTACCGTCGGTGATCGCAAGAACGGTTCACCCCAATTTCCCATCACCAATGACTGCTGGTAATTTTTTTTCACCCTCACTTCAACTACCCCCTGCCCTTCCATTCAATCTTCCAAACGATTGAGATTACCGGAAAATAGGGTGTACCGAATGGTAGAGGAAGAATAAACTCGTCCCAGGCAAAAGGTGAAAAATTCATTGAACGTTTTCTTCTGATATAAAAGATGGGAGTGTGTCGTAGAGGGCGAAAGTTCCAGTTTCACATAGTCATGGAAGGATAATGCATCAGCTGAGCGCTGACGGAAGTAAAAGCTAGTTAAATATGTATTTGAGGATTGGATTTATTTTACACGGAGAAATCTAATGAGGGGATGTCATTTTCAATCTAGAAATTGTTATGATTTCATCAACACGCCCTTTCCGTTTGGAAAACCCAAAAAAATTAATGCCTGAAATTATGGGCCATTTTTAATTGAAATTTTGAAGGAGAAGGGGGTGACGCTGCCACGAGCGGGGGGGCAATGAGGAATGGAATATAATCAAAAAATCCCCGACAAACGAAAACTGATTGAAATATGCTACAGGCCAGACAGGAAGTTGGTCCTTCCTTCCTCGACGGGCCGATATCCTGAATCACAATGAGCGGTCGCAACGATTCCACGAATTGTTACTATGTAAATACGAAAGAAAATGGCTAATGATCCATTGGAAAGAGACAAAGACAAAATGATAAATTCCGAGAGTGATTTTGTCTGTTCTTTTTTCGGAAAATTATTTTCGCTCGATTTTTTAAATTTTGGGTGCAAATTATGATGAAAAATTTCACTTCCGTGAATTCATTCGGATGCAATGCACGGAGAATTAGATAAAAGGAAGTGGAAAACCCGGAAGTCGATGGGCTGATGGGTTTTGCTGTCATAAATATGGATCTGTTAGATGGTTTCGATGCCGAGAGGCTGAACACCTGTGGATGACTCCAACTGAGGGACAAAAGGGCCTGAGGCCAACGGTAGCGACCGATCGGTTCAGTCATAAATACTGATGTCACCGAAAATAAAGGGTTTTCCACAATTTTCACTATTTGTCAAAAATTATCCACGAGAATTGGCCGTTATTGGAAAAATTCATTCAAAAAATTCCCGTTCCATTCCTCACAAGGGAAATTTCCGCGGAATTCTCGGAGGATTTTCTCAATGAAAATTCGGAAAGAAAATTCATACTGGAAAAATTCGCGGACACGGAAATTTCAGGTCGATTATTCGGTGGAATTTGTGAACAGATAATTTGATAGTTAAGATCAATTTTGATTTTGAAAATTCGGATAAATTGGAATTTTGGGCTTTCTGTTACTGAAAATAAATTTTACTTGAATTTCCCGGTGAGAAGGGACGACTGAGGGTGAAAGTTGAAATATTGGATAAAAGGTTTTGACTGTGACTAAAATGAAAAATGAGAGGCTTTTGAAAACGCAGAACGGAAAACTTTCCCTATTAGCCCTCGAACTGTCGAAATTTTCGAGCTTTTCCAAGACTTCTGTAAAATTTCTAAAAGAAAATTGAACTCAATGGGATAAATTTTCTTTTCTGCCAATCAAAAGATAAAATAACGAACAACTCAAATTAAAATAGCAGTAAAAGTAGAAATTTCATGATTCTGTAAAAATGATTATTTTTTCTATAGACATTTCACTGAAATTCTACAGCGCAATGAATTATTAATAAAATATTATCCCGCAACAGAAAACCAATAAGATATTGGATAAGCTATCGGATCAAGAGAAAACCGCGAAAAATTTTTGAACTCGTGAGTTCGTAATTTATTGGATAATTTAGTGATAGATATTTGTCACCGCGTGAATAATAATAATTGAAATGCCCAACAGTATCGATCTGAGATTATATTTCTTATCGCCAGAATACGTAATTGTTCTTCCTCAATCAAAATTTATTATGTCAATCTGAATATCAGTTGTGCGGAGATAATCGAGTGAGTGGTTTAATTGTCGAGGAAAAAAACATCAATTATTAACGGCGATAAGAAACTATTTCTTCTTCCTTTTTATTTACAATTTTGCATGTCGATTGTGGTGTCGCCTCGACAACGTTTAAAGTAACGAAATTATTTGTTGAGAATTGTCGAGGGAATTTGTGAAGGAGGACAAGCTGAGGCCGTCGTATGTTGAACGGTTGCGAATTCAGGCGAGAGAGCGTTTAAGTGCGTAATTCGACCGATAAAAAAAAATTACGCAATAGCCACTACCCGAAGGTCGTCACCGCCGAATATGTGAACGATGTCGCGTTGGTGTCGGCTCTAATGAGTCGAGAATCGATTTTATATTTTCAATTCTACCGAATTTTCAGAAAATATTTCGAGAAATTCCACCCATTTCTATTAATATTCGTGGAATAATTGAACAGAAATTGACAGGTTTCACGTATTTTTGGAAGTGGAACGGAAACACAATAAAAAATTCTCGAAGTTTCCAGGAATTTCCCAGTGAGATTACCTTCTGGAAATTTTTTAGACTTACGATCGAATTACTTTGAATTCTCGTAATTTTCATGGAATAATATTCATAAAATTCCTGGAATTCCCGGGAATTCCCCGCGATTGCGGTTCGTAATCGACAAGAATTCCTAGAGTTATAAAAAAGAATTTTGGTGTCCAGTGAATTCCCGTGAATTCTCGTGGAACGATCGAAGCGGGAGCTGCCAAAATGTCAAATTCATCGTTTCAAAAAATTGTTCTCTCTCAAAAAATGAAACTCACAGTATCGTCTCATAAGATTTTTCTTGTAGGGTTTAGTTCCGGGAGGTCTTCCCCTGCTCCTGCCATCCTTCCTATTATTATCTGAGCAGGAGTCATCGGAGTCCTCGGAGCAAGTTCTGTCCTCCACCTGGGAGTACTCAGACGTTGTGACGAGTTCCCGAAGCCGTAGGGCAGAGTAATCCTCGAGTTCCTTGTGTGCCTCATCTCTTTCGATGGAGTTCTCCTCTCGCGAGAGTTCCGGATAATCGCCCACCCGGACGCTGAGATCGAGCGGCTGATCCTCGAGCATTTTACTAAAATCCCTTAGTCCCCAGTCCCTACTCTCCCATAATCCCCTCAATTTCCAATTCCACTTCGATCTTCTCAATTAAACAATCACCGATCATTTCTCTCACTATCACTCAATAATAATTCAATAATAATCAATAATAATTCGTTCTAGTCTTCACTGATCACCGCACAATCAACCATTAATTAACGAATCACTAGTTTGAAACAAACAAATTTTTCAATATTCCCCCAGTTCCTGTCCACAAGACAATCACCGATTAATTAACAGAATCGGAGTGATTTTTTCTTCAGAATTATTTATCACTCCCGGCATTAATTAAATTGATTAATCATTAATTAAACAATCACTGGGTTAGAATGAGTAATTTTTGCCAAGACTTTCCACACAGTTCCTGTCCACAAGACGATTAATAAATAAACTATTTTATTTTTTAAACCAATTTTTATCTTGGAACTGTCGCCCTCAGCGGTTCACCCTCGACTGTCGTGTTTACGTTTATCCCCGACTGAACGTGGACCGGGTTGAATAGGGGAAACCGACGGGGGTTATATCCCCAGGGGTGGGGGGCAATGAGGTGGGGGAGGGCGCCGGTGGCACACTGACTGACTCCTCAGATCCGCTATGGTGTCCTCTTCCTGAATTCCACTGGGCCAATTCCTGAATTCCTCTTTTCCTGTTCTCCAACTTTCACCCAATTTTTCTAGATTCTCTCCATGAAATTTTTCACACCACCATTTTCCCCGGAGTTCCCCGGAGTTCCTCGATTCTCTAAGAACTCCGCACTATTCCAGAGACACAGAGTTCATGGGATTGGAACTTCGCGATGATTTGACGTTCTGGAGTTCCTCGTGCTTGTGGAACTCTGGTCGGAGTTCTGGGAGATTTTTTTTTTTTTTTTGAGCTGCGGTTTTGATGGCGGAACTCGGGGCGGATGGTTTTAAATCCACGGGCGCTCACTCACTCACTAACATGAACGCTCGCCGGTGGCACACTGACTGACTCGGCCGACGATTGCTTGGGTTAGGCCCCGCTAAGTCCAGTGAGCGCGGGGATTCGTTAACGTTTCCAGAGGAACTCTTTCTCGTTTAGTTGCGGGCGCGCGCGCCTCAACCGCCACTCGCTCTCTCAGCGTTATATTGGTGGGGAGGGATAGTGGTGGGTGAAACCGAGAGTTTTTGGATCACTAGGGTATACTGAGACTAAAAATTTTACCCAAATTTTTGCACAACGGAATTCACCGTCAATTTTACAGAGATATTTCGCGAGTTCTAATAATTTTATGGAAATTCAGAGATAATTGAAATTTATTTATACGTTTCGCAAAATTTATTTCAAAATCTCGTTTTCCTGTTGTGGGAATTATAACCATTTTTTTTTTTTGAATAATTATCGAATATGTAGTGGGACTTCTACTTGCTGGAAGTCGGGGAGTCTTATCGCAAATTTAATTATCAGGGAATTCCGCGATTTTTTTTATGATAAGAGACTATTTTTTGGTATTAAGTACATCTTCTGAATTTTTTTTAGTATCGTGAAATCGTTGGTTTTCACTTCGCGGAGATCGGAGACTCGTCGTGGTTCATCGTGGGGGGATTTCAGGGGAGGGATCGCCGTCGCGACGTCTTGAGCCTACCGCAACAAGCATCTACGTGTCTTGACGCTGAATTTTTCGAAGTTTGTTAAAACTGAGATTAAAAAGTTAATCACCGAATATTACGCGAGGTGGACTAAAAAAAAATTGCACAAAGAAATCTTCCAATTGCAATAATTCGAGATCGGCTGAGTGGAATTCACCGGGATTTCTTTATTCCGAATCGATTTTTCAAGTTTTTTAAAATGGGCGCAATTAGTTTAAATCGTATGATTAGATCTCGAAATATCGAAGAATCAACGAAAATGTTTGCACAATGGAAATATCTTTAGAGTTCCATAACTTGGGAAGTGTTTTGTTGTGGATTTTTAATGCAATTATTCATCCCAGAATAGATAAATGGTAGGAAATAATAAATTAAATGTTCTATAGACCATATGGGAGGTTTTTTTCAGCACATTCAACTGTCGCGGAACTCCACACGTAACAAATCGTACGAATTGTATGGGTTATCGCTGACCCCCCTCCCGCGTTATCGGTCGACTATCTTTCTCATGCGATAAACTGAGTGTATGTAAAGGCCTAGAGTACGTCCCAACACGTTTTAGCGTAAGTATTGCAGAGTTTACATGTCTCTGTATCAATTTGATTGCGAGCGAAATCACCAGCCGAAGGATTTACCGAGACAAGTGGTGGGTGAACACGGAATTTTACAATCTTGAAATTTTTTCTTTCAATTTTTAATAGTCGCAGCTAGAGGTTATACGTTGAGAATTTATTTATATTAATTCATTTTTCCGGATATCTCAATTTTTCAATTGTTGTTTAGAATCATTACGCTCAACCGATATCGACAGCATTTCTATTTTTCTTTTCTCTGACGTGTCTCGGTAAGGGAAACGTGTCGAGGAAAAGTGCGCGTTAGTCTCGGCCTGAATCGCCAGCTAATACTCTTCCTTCTCTTTCAAATAAAACTCTCGACTCCAGTTGAGTTCCTTTCTCGCGGAATAAATCCTCGCTGCGTCACGTCAACACTCGAGCGAAACATCAACATCAATTCAATCATCAATGGGTCTTTTGTCCCCCGAAATTACTCCAAAATTCCGTCAATTTCGTATTTTATCATTCACTGCATTTTCGACCTGAATACTAGCTCATCTCGATAACCATTGATTTTAGAGAAAAAAGTCGTATGTCATTTTTGTAGAGAATTCAATCTTCTTGAATAAATGTGGAATACATTTTTTTTGTAGACCCTCTAGATTTGGAGATAATTACCAAATGAAAACCATGAATTTTTAAAGCTCGACGAATTAATTTTTTTATATGGAAATCAATTGAAATTCCAATGGAATTGAATAAATTTTGAAAAAATTGATGAAATTTCGAAGAACAATGAAAATCGATATTCAAGAAATCGATTGATTCTCCTAATCACTGATGGAATTCATTTGAATTTCCGCCAATTACGTGTGCCCCAAATGCATTAATTATCCCCCGACAAAATAGTGAATTGGCCTAGTGGATGTATTCTCTCTACCGAAGGAACAATTTACTTTCCTAAGGCAGTGAAATCCCGAGTCTTTCCGGTGCGGCATCAAATCGGGGGAAGCCATCGGACAATTATTTTTCACCGCAGCAGAAAGTGAAGAGTTTTTGTGTATATATAGACACTGTTTAAAGATAGATGAAGAGAGAGAGAGAGAAAAAAATGAGGTGGAGACCGACGCGTAAATGCGGTTTGTTTCCCAGCGAAACAAACCGACGTACGAGGTGTCGGAAATTCTCGTGATGGTGCATAACTCGGTGCATCGGTGCCTTCGCACGGCTTTCCAAGGGCACGAAGAAGAAACCCCCTTTGGCGGTGTACGTCCGCGAGAACCGGAAAGATTCCCCCGATCTGCTACTTCCAAGGTCCCTCCGCACCACCAAGTCACAACTTAATGTACATTTTGTTGAGAAACAAAATTCAAGTTTTCAACGATCAAATTGAAATTCAAATTTTCAGCGGAATAGGGGGGAGATACGACTTTTTCGTTTGAAACTTTTTTGTAGATCTAGGGTGGCTCTCCAAAAAAGGTCCCCATCAGAATTTTCAAATCCCCATGAATTCGGAGATACACCCAAAAACAATCTGATTTGAAAAGTTTTTCTTTTTAGATTTTTGAATTTTCTGTTTTTTTAGGATACCCCAGAACTTTTGCAAGATATCAAAATTTTTTGCTCTTTCTTTTTTGTACCTCTCGAAATTCTCCGCAAAAAACGTTTCATCCAAAAAAGACGTATGTCTCATCAATACCGAGCTATCGACCAATAAACTCAAATATGCCAATCCCCCATGAAAAACTAAAATCTCCTAAACCAAAACCTCGAACTTTAAATATTTTAACAGAAAAAAATAAATAAATAAAATACCCATATAATCCCCGCAAATGACATACGATAAAATCTATTTTCCGATGGGGGTCACGGCCATCCATAAAGGAAATCCCCAAAAGTAACTCAATCCCATCAAGAGAGACAATGTCCTCCCTATCACATTCCCCTTATCACCTCCTCACTTTTCACTGCCTCTCCCCCGCCCTCCCCCCACTATCTCTGGGCCACTGTGACGACTCTCACGAGCCCCCCTCGTCCCCCATTAAAACAGAAAAAAAAAAGTAGAAAAAAAAAAACTGCACATGAGTGCAGTAGTATCGGTGCAAAAAGCGCGTGTTACAGAAATGTGTAAGTGGGAATCGGCGTCAGTTCCATGTGCATCGCCCTGGCGACTGCAAAAAGGGGGAAGTAGGAGAGTCAGCATGCACCAGGTGGGGGGGTAAAGGGGGGGGTTTTGAGAGGGGGAACGGATGGACGGGAGGTGCAGCGAACTCTCCCAAGGCCTAAACTTCCCCCTCATTCCTACCTCACTTCATCGTCTCAGCCACTCATCGACCGACTCTAAGCCAACCCCCTCCCACCCTCCCTTCACCACCCATCCCCCTATTTCTTCTTCCCCCTTTTGGACAACAAGCCGTCCAGCGCCTGTAACTGCACACGACCATCTACATTGTGGATATGACCAACTTTATCTCTTGAAAATTTTTTCATGTGTAACTGCAGGATGCATTCTGGTGGAACTTTGAAAAAATTGGGGGTACTGGAGGTTTTGGGGGGATTATCGGGGGTCGGAATGGAACATAAATTTATAGTTTGAGAGATATTTCGAGAAATATATACGAGTAGGCAGACCTTTGAGGATTAGTCTGAGAAGGGGTGAAGTTAAGCCTTTAACAAGTCTCTAATTAATGAATTTGAATTAAACCTTTTGAAGGTCTCAACTTGGGACCTAGGCTAGACCCGTAAAATCTCAAATTAAGTACTTAGTGAGTCTCAAATTAATACCTCCAGAAATCCCAAATTAACGCACAGTTATAGAGCTGATTCATTTCGAATTACTTTAAAAAACGCATTAAAAAAAAAAATAAAGCCCGAATTTAGTGAATAGGACTGGAGGTGGCAAATGAACAAGTTTGTTCCCGGGGCAGACGACCGTTCGAGGACAGATTCCAGTCTATTCCGCTCTCTCTCCCTCGATGATGCGGGGAGAGCGTCAAGCTATCGGGTACCACCTCTTTGTCCTGCTGAAGACGATGGACTCGCCATTTTCTTTTTTTTTTTTTAACCCCCAGGGGGGCTCACGATCGATCACAAATCGCGGATTTTTATTAGGCATTTGCTGCTATCGTCGATTGATGTTTGTTGAATGTGTCTTTTCATGGTTTCGTGGAAACTCGCGGAAGGCCATCGGCTCGGGGAACTCGCGTATTCCTTTCTCATCCTTGAGGAGTGCCTTTCTTACTTCCCGTCACGCTCAGAATTGCAATGCACGAGAAAGAAGTGGGGGATGGTATTAATGCGTGTGAAAATTTGTTTTTTGCATCCATTAGGTGAATTTTATGCGCGAGGCCATTCGGTTTAAGTAATTCGAAGGGTTGTAATTCAATAGTTGCTCATTACCGCAAGAAACTATTAATTATCCTGACGAAAATCATTACCAGGAGGAGTGGAGGGGGGAAAAGCAACGGAGATGTAGAGGGTAACAGGTGGATACAGCGAGCAGTTGAGTTTACGCTGAGTATCTCGAAATCTGAGAGAGATGGCAATATTTTTGTGAGAACCTTTTTTGTAGATATTGGGTCATTCTATAAGAGAGGTTCTTAGAAAAATTGCGCTATCTCTGTTGGATTAAGAGATATTCCTGGAAAAGACGACTAGGGAAATCGACTTGTTACCCTTCAACTCTACGGTACTGATTTAATTCACACATGTACCCACCCAATTGCAATTGTACGGTATCACGCGATGACAGAGTGCGGATCAGTGGCAACACGTATTGGGAATC